GACCTCTCGAGGCAAACGATCTCCACGCGGCGTCAGAGACCAACGCCCGGGCCGTCACGACGCGAACGTGCCGTCAGATCCGGCCCACAGGACGCGATCGAGATGGGCAACGTCAGGAAAGAATGGGTACGAAGACTGGCAGCAGTTCCTGTTCATCTCGCACCGGGGCTCAAGAGAGAAGGGTCAATGCGAACGGGGGTCAGCCAGAGCGCTGGATCTTGCTTGGGTGCAGGATCCTGCAGGATCCTGCAGGATCCTGCAAGGCCTGACTGACCCGGGTCTGGACTGACCTGGGTCAGCAGATCCCCGATTTGAACAGGTCTCGCGGCCGGTGTCCCCGCAGATGTTGTCCGCTTGAAAGGCGGAAGGCCAGTTGCCCAACAGCAGCGCCCCCGTCGGTGCGGGGGGCAGCATTTGCAGTTGGGCATCGTGACCACGCTTGCCGTGCCCACTTCGGGCGGCCACCTGCGTAATCCAAAACCCGGATAGCAGAGCAAAAGAAGGCCGTCCAAAGGCCTCTCGGGGGAGCTCTGGAAGCTTCTGGAAGGAGCTTCCGAAGGAGCTTCTGGTGAGCTTCTGGGCAGACGCACTGGGAAGCAATTAGCAAAGGCCTGCCTGGACACGTTGCAACCTCAGGCCGTGCCCACTTCGGGCGTCCAGAGTGTCGGGCCGGACGGAAGGGCAGGATGATTCGGTAGCAAATCGTGGGAGCCTGGTATATGCCCTCTTAATTCCGTCTTTGGCGTCGACTAGCGTCGATGAGCGTCTGGGAGTCGATGAGAGACCGCCAACTCAGCGTCGGCTAGCGTCCATTAGCGTCGATTTAGCGTCGATTAGCGTCGACTAGCGCCAATTCGCAAGGGCCGGCAAGATGGTATGGGAGGCCCCCAAATGAGCTGCCACCGAAGGATAGGGAAAGGAGGTGTGCGAAATCTGCGGCATGCAACGGGCTGCCGCTCCGCCGCCGGGCCCGTGCCCCGATGCATGGGGGCACCTCCCGGCGCCAGGAGGCGCGCGAGTCTCTGCCTTGCCCGTTGCTATCCTACCCTTTTTCGTCCCCCCCCCACCCCGAGAGTGGAATCCGAGGCCGGGACGGAGCTCGTCCGCGAGGGCCAGATCCCGCTGGACGACCGGCTCGCGGAGGCGCCCGGCGTGCCGCTGCGCTCGCCGCCGCGCCGCCGTGCGCCCTCGCTCGCTCGCCCGTCGTGTCGCCGCCGCCGCCGTCGTCGTCCGCCGTCTCCCGAGGCCCATGCCCTGCAGCATCGGGGGGCAACGATAGGGGGGGGGGGTAGGCATAGGGTCCAGTCGGGCACACACCTCCCCTTTCGCTCTCACAGCAAGGACCTGGAACTTGTCCCAGTGCAGCTCCATGCCGTACCTGCGACCAGCGTCAGAGATTGCTTTCAAGTACTCATTCAAGAAAACGTCGTCAGTTCCAATGAGCAGGGTGTCGTCCGCGTAGACGCACTCGCACAAGTCCCTCTTCATGTAAGCAACCGCCGCGCCGCTCCACCTTCCAAGAGACCAACAGCATCGTGCAGTAGCACAGTCATCACGAGAATGAACAGAAATGGGCTGAGCGTACACCCTTGAGAGATGCCAGACAGCTGCGGCCTCGGAACAGAATAGATGCCGCACTCGCTGACGACAAACATCCTCTCAGTCACTGGCTCAAGGGGTTTAGGGCTCAAGCCTATCGAGGGCACCTACAGACCACTTCCGCATCGCGCGCCGACCCGCGCGCAGTCGGCCCCCTCCGACTGGGTTCGATATCATGGCCGGACGGTGCATCAGGTGCCTCGCTGGAGGCGTGGACGCCGCGGCGCTTCCCGGGGCAGCCCTCTGCGCCACGCACGCGGCCGCCGCCAGCGCCGATGGTGCTGCGCCCGGACTGGCTGCCCAGGCGCCCGGCGCACCGGCTGCAGACGCCGAGGCGGATGGGGCTTCCGGTTTGTCGCAGGCGATGGACGGCATGCGGATGGACGCCGAGCTGGACGCCCCGCCGAACGTGCCGCCTGCCCCTGGGCTACCTCCCCCGGCTGCGCTTGCGACGGCCCCGAGACTCTCGACAGCTTTCTCGCCTGTCCCAGCCGCCGCAGCTGCCGCCGAGCCCGCTGCAGTTCCAGGAGTCGCTTCCGTGCACCAGCCGCTCTCGGTGCCCCAGCCGTTGCCACATGAGCTCCTCAGTGATCTCTTGGAGCAGGAGATTTTGCGTTATTTCGAGATCGTCCGCGCCGCTCAGGCGACAGGGCAGAGCCCGCCGCTTTCGGCAGCATCCACGCTGGCGACCTTCGACGACCTTATGACGGTATTGCGGGGACTCGCCTACGACCCGACCTCGTCCGACTGTTGGCAGGTCTTAGGGCTCAGCCCGCTGGAGGGGCCTGAGCCGACGCTCGGCATGCTCGAGTCGCGAGCCCGCACTGCCCGGCTGCTTTCGTCTGCTGCTGAGGGCCCGCGCTGGTCACAGAGCGACAAGCAGCTGGTCCCCCCCTTCCTGGAGAAGCTCGAGCTGGCCGTCCAGGACTGCGCCAACTCCCTCGCCGGCTGGCGCAAGGAACGCCGGAAGCTGAAACCCAGCAGGCTCCCTCTTTGGAAGGAGCTTGGGCCACAAGCCCTCTGCGCGGTACTCGACACAGCCCTCTCGCCACAGGAACGCGTCGCGACGCAATGGTCTGCGCTGCTCGGCGCACGTCTCCGGGAGCAAGCCGATGATCGTGTTCTCCCCCTCGATGGAGCTCGGCGTCTTGCCGAATTGGCCGAGAAGGGGGACGACTCTTTCTGGGATCTGCTGCAGAACGTGCCGGTCGTCATCTGGGCCCCCACCGATTCTTCCGCGCTGGGCCGCCTCCGAGAACACATGCTGAAACGTTCCAGCGGCGGTTCACTCCCGCAGTACATCCGTATGATCACTCCGCTGGAGACTTTTCCTCGGTCCCACTCGGTCGACGCCATCCGGGATCTTTGGTGGCATCCCATTTTGGGGGAAAAGTGGGCAGCCCTCCTCCGGCAGGTGGACTTCGTGTCGCACCCCATGGAGTTCGTGTCTCCTGGCTCCGTGGGGCCGCGGCAAGACTTCAAGGGCCTCGCGATTTTCACGCTCTCCACGTATCTCCCGAAGGGCCCTCCCAAGATGCTGACGGTGGGGGAGCCCCTCTTCTCTCTCGAGGACAAGCCCACGTACGTGGTGGACATCCCTGCCATGGCACTCCCATTGGTCTACAGCTTCATGTCAGATCCTGGCATGCGGTGTGCGACGATGGGCCGAATCACCCGCAGCCCAGGCCACGCTGCCGAGGTCCCACGCATCACCGTAGATATCCGCTTCGACCGGGCCATCCCAGCTCTGGAACAGGAGCTCCGCATGCGTCGCCTCCGCAGCGCGGCGCTCCCCCCCGACTCGTTTTACGGCTCGCATGCGATGTTCTCGGACCCAGGGGCCCTCCTCGCCGAGCTCGCGCACCCCAGCGCTGCGTGCAAGGCCTGGCCGTTATGCAGCGGTCTCATCCTCCTCACCTCTGGGAAGGCGCTGCTCCAATCAGAGACGGAGGCGGACGTCTGGCAACCCCTGATGGACAGAACGTTGCACGAGGACCCTGAGACGGCCGTGCTGAAGCTCCAGTACAAGCCGTCGCGTCACGGAGGACGGCAATTCGCCGTTCCTTCCGCCACCCCTCAGCAACTTGCTGCCCTGCGCCGTCGACGCGGCCCGCGGTCCCGTCGAGCAGCCGCCCTCGAGGCCGTGACTGACGTCGATATCCGGGGCTACGCCAGCATCGACGAGGCCGAGGTCTTCCAGCAGCTGATGGCCCACCTCTCGAGTGCTGCCGGTATTCAGCTCACCGAGGCCACCGCTGAGACCATGCAGACCGGGTCGTGGCAGTGGCTGGCCAAGACGGATCCCCGAGCTCCCCCGGGACGGGTTCGCTTATACCTGAAGGACGCAGCCGACGTTCAGAAGGTCCAGGAGGCCTTGCACGGCAAGGCGATTCAGGTTGGCACGGACCTCGTGGGGATACAGGTCTCCAATGACTTGGCTGATGCGCAGCGTCTGCTCGCAGGCTCGGGAAACGCTGCGGGGGGGGTGGCGCGCTAGCCATCCTCCCTCCCTGCGATGCGACACTTGACGCCCCGCCAGGGGCCTCCTGGGCGGTATCGCGCTCGGGTTGCATGTCCCTCCTCGCCGATGTCGTCTTGCAGCTCCTGCCCATTCCGATCGGCACGACCTGCGCGGCCAACGTCGCCGCGGAGGCTAATTCACAACTTGCCGCTGCCGCCGCCGTCCGCGATGTCCCATGCGATCTTCCACCTCGTATTCCGCCTCTTCTTCTCCAACCTACTGCTCAGGAGCACGCACTTTCTAAACAGGCCCGGACTGACGTGCCAATATCAGTATTACAAGCTGCTCGACTCCGTCGCGCCCTCGGCCCCAGGTCACGTACAACGCCGACTTCCACTACGAACCTGCCGTCGGAGGGCGCCGTGAGGACCGTCACCCCCGCCTCGACCACCTCGTTGCGGCGCCCGTATACGGGGGACATCTCGCTTGCCACCTGGAACGCGCAAGCCCTCTTTGCAGCGGACGTCGCAACTCACGGCCGCAAGTGGGCTTACCTCTGCCGGCTCACCTCCCAGCACGACGTGATCACGATCACAGAGACGCATGGCACGGAGGAGTCGCTCCCATTAGCTTTACCTCCGAATGGCTGTCGCGGTTGGTGGTCCCACGGCACGTCACAGTCCGCGGGGGTTGGCATTGTGGTCCGGCAGGAATTTCTCGACAAGTTCTTGCATTTTGATTGGTTTGTCATATTTCCTGGTAGGGCCGCTCGGCTTCGCTTGAGGGGCCCTCGCGGCACGCTGGAACTCGTCGTGGGATACTTCCACACAGGCCACGCGCCGCAGATGCGCCCGGCAGAGGCTTTGGGCGAGGATGCTGCGCACTACGCTTCGGTCCGCCGGCAGCGGGCTGACTTGCGGAGTTCGATCGCTCAGAATGTCGGGGGCTCCACGGAGGTTCTGTGCATCATCAGCGGCGACTTCAACTGGGTGGTAGACGACCACGACCGCGTCTCCAAGGGCACTGGCCATACTGCTGGCGCTCGTGATCGCGCGGAGGAGGCCCACTGGAGGCGTCTTCTCCCGAAATTTCAGGAGATGTCCCAGGGGGCCATGACCCATGACTCGGCCTCAGCCCGCTCCCGCCTGGACCGCATCTACACCAACATGGACGGGAGCGAACTGCTGGACAGGCAGATCACGGCCGGGGTTCGAGAGTGGGTGCCTCATCTTTCACACCATCGTGCAATGTTCTTCCAACGCCGCCAGGCCGCAGAATCGCGGCTGGGTACGCGTCCAGTTCCAGCAGACGTCGTCCGTCGCCCTGAGTGGTTTCATCGAGTCAGTTTGCGATACCACGACCTGCTCGACACGGCCCCTTCTCTCTCGGCAGTGGCTCGCCCCCCGCTGCTGAAGCAGGCGGTCCAGGAAGTCAGCTTTGAGATGGTCACCGACGGGCGCGCGGTCTCCGCGCGCACGGTCGAGGACAGGCTCGGCTGCACCATGCGTTTCATCCGTGCGGTGGAGAACTCTTCCGTCTCCGCGATCGGCAGGTGCATATCGTCGTACCCCTACCTCGCCGACCTCGTCCCCAACCCGTATTGCACTTCCCTTCGGGAAGGCGGCGCCCTCGCGGCTGTACGAGAGCACGCCGTCGCTCTGGCGAGGGACCAGGCTGTCCGGGAGCCCACCGCGTTCCGGGACGATCTGCCGAACCTCTCCGATGCGGAAGCGACGGTTCGCCGAGCTCGCAATTCCAGACTGCTGAGTCGCCTCGTTCCTGGGCGAGGGAAGTTCTTGACGGCCACTCGGAGCCCGAGGGGGGACATTCACACATCTCCAGACGCCATGGCAGCCGATCTCCGCGAGCATTGGGCCCAGGCGTTCGAGGCGCGCCCGACGGACTCTGCACTTCGAGCGAGGTGGCTTGCTGAAGACTTGCCTGCAAGATCGAGGTCGCTCCCTCCAGCATCGTCCTCGAGGTGGGCCCCATCGCGTCGGGGCGTTCGGGATGCGATTGCCCATTCAGGTTCGTCTACTCCTGGCCCAGACGGGATCCCCGCAGCTGCGTGGAGGGCCCTCGG